CTGTTAACACCGCTCGTCCTTTTCTCTCTCCCGCCGTAGTCAGTCGATACTTACACTGGGGAAGGGGGGAGGGCCGGCGGGGGGGGCTTCCACTGTAGGTATCGACTGGCTGCTGCCCTACGTAGTCAGTCGATACCTACATTTTCACGCGAATAGAACGCCCGGTCATTATAGCTGTATTAGGGGCAACTTTCAGTCCAGATACGGCAATAATTAGCGGGCGTTCTATTCGGGTGAAGACGGTAGTTGAATTTGTTCCTTCCTTTGCCTCTACGGCTTGGTTGGTGAATTTGTTCCTGCCTTAGTTTTTACCGTCTTCCCCCCTCCGAACACAACGCACCCCCATTTCGCCTGCACCGGACCGGAAACGTGCCTTGTGTACATTCATTATCAGGGTGCGTTATGTTCGGGGGAAGACGGGTAGCTATACCTTGCAGTAAAAATACTCGGGTAGTATGCCTTAGTTTTTTTCCCGAAGCCGCAGACATCGATGTGGTTGTCTTAGTTTTTTTCCCGAAGCCGCAGACATCGATGTGGTTGTCCATCGAAATCTCTGGTGAGGTCCTTCGGGACATCCGTTAAAATTGGAACGGTACACAGAGAGAAGATTAGCATGCCCCCTCCCGCCCCACCCCCCCAAAAAAAAAAAAAAAAAAAAAAAAAAAAAAACCTGCTGAGTTGATCAAAAAATTCCGATCAGGACCGAATCGAGGAATCAAGGCGGCGGATCAACTCAGCAGAGATTTTTTTTTTTTTTTTTTTTTTTTTTTTTCTGGCCGGGGCCCATGCTAATCTTCTCTCTCTGTATCGTTCCAATTTTACGGGTCGAATGCAGAAAGTCTGTGGATCAACTCAGCAGATTTTTTTATTTTTTTTTCCTTTTGTTTTTGGGCGGGGCCCTATGTTAATCTTCTCTCGCTGTCTGTATCGTTCCAATTTTACGGGTCGAATGCAGAAAGTCTGTGGATCAACTCTCCGCCATTCATCGATGGTGTAATATTACTAATATTACATACATGATGCTTGATGAATGAATGAATGGCTGAGGCTCCAATCTGGTTTAGGGTTTAGTTGATAGCCCCCTGGCAGTAGATTTATAGGGGTAGTAGGGGTAGTAGGGGTAGTAGGGGTAGTAGGGCTTAGGGTTTTTCTGGAGCAACAGACATCGATGTGCCCGTCCTTCCAAATCTCTGCTGAGGTGATGAATGCACATACTCGCAGTACTCGGTCAAATGCAGAAATTCACGATCGTAAATATAATGTTAGTATATGCTTCATGAATGAATGTTGGAGGTTTAAGGCTTTGAAACCTTCACCTTCACACGAGAAAAAGAAATACAGTAATCACTTATTAATACTATATGTAATATACTGCAGGGCAACCCTTCCTTAAACCGCAGAATATATATATATATATTTTTTTAACGACGCCCCATGGCGCCCCAGCCTTGCAGAAAGTTTTTGGTGGCCACAAGCGAAACTCGGAGGGGCCGTGCGGCATGGGGCGTCGTTGAAAAAAATAAATCTGTGGCCTTCCCGAGTGGTGCGGGTTCCACGCTGCCGCCCGCGGCGGGCCTATGTATGCTGTACTGGTGCTTTAAAAGACAAACGTAATTCGATGAATGAATGAATGAATGAATGTTCATTCATTCATTCATTCATGAGTAATTTGAGCATGATTAATAATGAAAAAAAAAAAAATCCAGCGCGGTCGCCTGCTCCGAAAGATTTACCATTTGCCAGGTGGACAAAATCCCACTTCTTCCTTCCTCCCTCTCCCCCCCCCGCCAACCTTCCCTTCTCTCCTCCGCTCCTCTCCGCTCCTCTCCGCTCCTCTCCCTCGTTCCCTCCGCTCCACTGCCAGGCGGGCCTGCCTCTCTCTCTCTCTCTCTTTCTCTCTCTCTTTCTCTCTCTCTCTCTCTCTTTATCTCTCTCTCTTCCGCGTCGTCGTCGCTTTCTCCCTCTCGCGACGGCTGGGAGGAGAGAGAGAGAGAGAGAGAGAGAGAGAGAGAGAGAGAGAGAGAGAGAGAGAGAGAGACACCTTTTGACAGGCTCATGTTTACACCCGCCGCCTACACCATCATGATTGGAAACGCCGCTTTTAGTTATTTTGCAACGTAACTGGGTGCGGTGCCAATTCGATTCAGTGTTGCGTTCCAGTTCACAAGCTACCTTAGTACAGTCGCCTAAGTTTGGCGCCGGTGGGGGGGGGGAGAAGGGGGG